AAAATTGATTTGGACAATCTGTGTGTTCCTATTGATAGAGACACAACGGTGACTAGGGGTGTGACGAGGGTCATTGCAAGGTTAAAAGAAAAGCACCCAGGAATTCTCTCTTGTCATCAGCTTTTCGAACTAAATGGTTTAGGTTGCTACTGGCAATATATAAGTTTCCATCAAATACCAAGAGACATCTAGTCATATTTATAAGTTGTCCTTCGAATTTTCCCAAGGGGTGGCTACTTTTACAATGGCAAATTGCTTATAATGGGAAGTTCACATGTTTGGTATACTTAGGACATAGGATTTCTTGATAACATGCAGTTGCTTTTCATAACAGTTGTGAGCTGTCTATGAAAGTGAGTATAAATACTCTTCCTCCTGAGTTAACAATTTTAAGTACTAAATTGCTTCTATTATTTTTAAAATAATGTATTCTTAGAAAACAAATGTGTCAAAAGATCACATAGTATCACACAGCACAGGCTATTCATAGGCTCTTAAATGACTGCAACAATATACTTAGAAAATCATTTAAATAAATAAATATATCATAAAAATATACGAGGTGCTAAGTATGCTGTATATGAGCCCATTCTGGAGCAGAATCTAAACTATAAAAAATGTAAACATTTTAAAGATACATAAGCAGATTCAAAGCAATTATGACTGCATATGAGATTCAAAAATAGCCCTCAAAAATGCTTCAGTTAAATAATTTTCTTTAATATGAGAAAGTAAAATTGTTTTAAAAATTTCTATGACACAATACCTCTTATGCAAAGAGGCTCAAGATTTTATAATAACATGTTCATTATTTACCAATATTTAGCTATAAGCTCAGCTATGAGATACATCTGAGCTAGGTGAGCATCAGTGAAGAGCTAAATATATTATGCTTTAGTTAGTCAATGAAAGTAAAATATTTCTGGAGTAGGATCCAGAGGGGAAATTTTTAAATGATTGTTACGGAAACAAATGTGCATGTATTTAGAAAGATAATAACTGCTGAGGAATTTTTTAAAATCCGCTGACTGCCGTAATACTCTATCATATTGTTTTTGGCAAAAAGGTGATATAAATATACATAGGTTTTTGGCTTGTGACTAATAAAGCCTAGATATTAAAAACATTAACCAATGACAGTATGTCAGGTATTAATCCAAACAGTTCACAAATCATAAAGTTCAAGGATGTGTAAGTCATTAAGCAAGTTTATCCATGTTCTCAAATATAGATTCTGAATAGAGCAGGTTTTTTTCCTGTTTTCACATTTGCAGAACACAGTTCGTGTGTGCAGTGTTTAGAGGTTCACTGTGAGTCCTCTAAAGGTTTCTTTATCATTTAATATTATAAATAATTATGTTCCTAGGCGGCAGTTCAAAGCTCAGTACAGCACTCCTACAATGCCACAGGCAGGTCAGCTGACTTTTCTCCAAAGCTGCTCTCTCTGGTGCTGAGGACAGACAAAGTGATATGTCTGTCATACGCCATTACCATTAGAACAGCATCTTGTTCTTTTATTACAACTGAACTCCGCCAGATTTCTCAGCAGGAATGCTAAGTGAAATCAATGTCTTGGATTTCCAGGCTGAGCTTGGAGGTCACAGCCACTCTATCATTTCTCAGCATTATCCTTTCTCTCTCACACACACACTCCCCAAGCCTCCAACTGGCACACAGCAGATTGAAAACAGCATGCATCAGAGGACTCATGCTGTACAATTTTACAGTCTTTTGGAGCCCCTCCTTCTCATTCCTCTCTTCCATTTTTTACAAACTGCAAATAAGTTTTGTTTCTGTCCCTATCTGGAGTTGTGAGGCAAAGGCAAAGGCACACCCAGCAAGAAGGGCAGGCAATAAGATTGAGAAAAGGTTGATTTGTGACAACTGTCAACAAGATCATTATCTTGACATCATCACCTAGATGTGACCTACAATTCCATTGCTCTAAACAGCAAATGTACTTTTAACTTAAACCATCAATTTCCCTAATTCCAGGTAGGTACATAGATATCACAAAGCCCTCAGACAAAATAATTCTATTTTATAGTGAGATAGACATGAAATCTTGCCCATAAAACACTCAGAAATTACCAAGACACTAATAATTGATTATTTAAAAACCTAAATATGACAACAAATGCTAGCTAGTATATATGAAGAAAATAGCTCTGTGAAGTAAAAAATGTGTACTATGCTATGTATAAATATAAATTTCAGGGTGCAAGAAAATAAATTCAAGTATTATAATTGGTCCTCTCTATTTACTGTTGATTGTACTTTTTGGGAGGCAGGTTCTTCATTAAATGACAGTGATGACACTTACTGGTATGGCTCTTTTTAACTCAGTACACTTTACCACTGAGTTAAATTAACACAACCAGATTTCAGAAATCTTTCTGACATAAAGCAGGTTACAGACAGTATGCTAGATGACACTGAGCAAGGAAAGGACATATTTTTATTAATCATTGTTTAAAAAAAGAACATTAGGGCCGGGGATTTAGCTCAGTAGTTCCGCCGCCTGCCTCGACAGTGCCAGGTCCTGAGTTCGATCCCCGGTACCAAAAAAAAAAAAAAAGAACATTAATTCCTGCTTAAAACTTTATGTATATTTTTACAGTGGCTAATGGGGAAAAATAGTTTATTTTTTTCTTAAAACTTTCTTATATGTAAAAAATTCATGAAAGCTAATTTTCAAAAAGTAATTTCAAGGACAGACTCAGTTATATTTTTAAATTGTGTATAATTATGGCAAAAGAAATAATCCACTTTTTCACTAGTATTAAATAAGTGAAAGTATATAAAACCATAAGACATGGCATAATTTTAATACACTACACAGAGTCTTCTTCACCGAGTGAAGAAGTTTCCTAATCAAAGCAAAGAAAACCTTCAGTCACTTTTGTACTTTTCATGGTTACTTAAAAATTATTATTATGGCAACTGCTCAATAAACATTTGAATGGATGGGGCCAGGATTTAGCTCAGTGGTGCCGCCGCCTGCCTCTCAAGTGCAAGGTCCTGAGTTAGATTCCCAGTACCAAAAAACAAAAACAAAAAAACATTTGAATGGATGAATGGATGGATGGATGGATGAATGAATGGATAAGTGAACAGAAACATAAATGGAAGAGCCTATCTAGCATCAAAAGCATAATGACTATTTGTACAAGTACTTTAGTAATAAAATATTAATGATAAAATGTTCCAGGTGTAAAAAAAAAATCCATAAGTCATTCAAAAGTGAATTACATACTATCAAATCTTAAAACAAAACTAAACAATGAAAAGCACTATTGTGAAACATGATGTGAAATCACTAATAAATCAAGGGAAAAATCATAGAACAATACCTAACAGAGGTATCTATGTGAGACCAGAACTATGCTGCTACAGCTATTTATTTTACTCAAAGTTAGCCTGTACATATAATACATTAAAACTGCTGGGCCATGCAGACATCAAAATATCACTGCTTTAAAATTAAATTGTATTCAATAAATGTTATAATTATTACGGAATTTTAAAACCTTACATGCTGCTGTGATTACAAAGAAAAGCAAAACAGGCCTTAGACATACATTAAGCAAACAAGTAAGGCCCATTAAACAGCTGAAACAGATTTAAAAAGTAGCACTGTATATTCCCTAATGTCACTGTAGTGTGCCCAATATTTCTTCCTGTGTATTTATACATATTGGTGATGAATCAAGGCCCCATCTTTGTCCACGTTAAGTTATACTCCCAAATGTATTTCACTCGTAAGAACGTGTGAAGGACTTGGAAACTCTGGGAAGATAAAGGCTGGAGTGTCCTTTCTCAGCTGAATAACCTCTTCTCCTCAATTCAGTTTCTAGAGTAAAACAAGAACTGTGAAAGACATCCTGGTGGGGCCTCCAGGGTATGGAGAAAGATGTTTGTAAAATTACTTTTTCTCTTCCAATATTTTCTAATCCTCTTCTCTCTGTGCTTCTTTTAACTATGGTGATTACCCTTGCCCCGTTACTCTTTAGACATTTCCATGTGACATTCATAGAGTCACAAACAGAAGCAGTTTTCTAGATAATTCAGAAAAGTATATTTTGGGAGTAATGAACTGTCAGTTTTCTGCATAAAATTTTCTAATTTAGTAAAAAATTTGAGGCATTTTCCTGAATAATCTCAGGGAATGCTATTGTAGGGGCAACTCTTCTCACTTTGTATACAAACATCCTAATACAATGCCATGTAAATAAGACCTTAACAAACCCAAAATACAAATACATAAACACTGCAGAATGGTTTTTCTGTTTCTCTCTCCTTTTAAGCTAAGGTACATACATTATGTGAATTTCCCCAATACTTTCTCGTGTTTTCTCAAGATATGTTCCCTTAGCTCTAAAACCAAAACTGTTCCTAAATAGTCTTATAACTAATACTATTATTATCTTCATTTCTTTTCACAATAATCTCAGTAAATGGCTGCTATATCTAAAATTATATCTATACCATACCATATTATAGCAGTTATTGATTTTAAAAAAAACCCATATGTGCTAATCCTACTCATACTTTAAGATCTACTTCAGTTGCTCCTTCTTTGGCAAACACTTTCCCCTCTAACTGAAGCTAATCTCTTCCTCCTAATAACTTCCAATGTACTCTTATCTGTGCATTTCTCTGTAAAATTTATTATTTTGCATCACAGAGAACGGTTACGTGGCTATTTTTATAAATATCTACTTTTAAACTTGTAAGCTTCCTTAGTCCAGTATAATCACCTGATGAATCACTGTGTCACTCAGATTTTTTATAATAGCTATCAATACATGTTTTTGAATTAAATTATAGATATATGTATGGAAATTTATATGCACATCTATTGCTCCTAATGGACTCCTACCTCTACGTACAGCCAGGGATTTGCCCCATTGCAGGCATGTAAAGGACCTTCAATAAATACCATTAAATGAAAAGGAAAATTCTAAGTGGCAAGACAGGGAGCTTCTTCAAAAGTGTACCTTGCTTTTGGGTGGTGGGCTGTTTGTGCTCTTGTCTGTGTGAATGCTGGTAGGAGATACAGCAGCACCAAGGTTGCCTTGGGGTATGCCTGGGAGCTTCCCTCCTGGAGATACCTGCATTGCAGCTAGCTGGGCAGCATATAACTGCTACAGAAGAAAAGGAGACAGAAAAAAAAGACTATCAATAACAAAATAAATGCTCAGACGTATATTTTGCTATGGGCATTTTCATTTATGCCCTGGAATATTTAAAGAAAGAAGCTGTCACCTCAACTTAACGACTTGTTTCTCAGGGGAGATATGAGAGATACCTCATGTAAGGACTCTCAGTAGCATGATGTCCAGGAACTCACAGCAAATAACAGCCATCCATATTTACTCTTTCCAATGTCTATGGAAAACATTCATATCATATTATTTGGTCAAGAGCTCTTTTTGCTCTACATTAAATTTACACAGTGTGTTAAAAAAGAAGGCAACTTTGTATACACAGTCATTTTCTTACTATCCTTATTGGTTCAATTACTGTATGCCTTTGTTGCTTCACTTATTGAAATGAGTACCTGTAACAATTTTTCTGAGCAATAGCTGTACAGAAATACAGAAAAAGCATTTTGAGAGACCAGAAGGGGAGTATTTGAAGAGCATCATCTGGTCAGTCTACCTACATTGATAAATATTAACTGGATGCCTGTCAGAAGTTCACTTTATTATAGTATATAAACAGACAAATCTCAAATTATCTTGAGGATTAGGGTTTTAAGACTTTCCAAAACACATACTCTTCCACTAAGCTATCACTTAATAGTTTTCATTTAAAAACCAAGAAAATGATCGTTAACAAATTATTAAACTAAAAGGAAAATTTTATTTTTATAATGATAGCTACATGATATAGCATCCGAAAACAAGGAGCTTGCATTACAATAGTCACATCAAATATTAAGATTAATACTCATTTCATCTTCATTTAGCATTATGTAAAATGTTTAACAATCTGATTGAGAATATATTATTAAATTTTATAATGTGTGTGTATACAACATATCCCAATTTCCCACTTTCAATTTGGCTTGAGACTCCATGGATAGTTTTTTACTACACAAGATAGAAACTTCTCTACTGTGAAATAGTTCTTTGGAATGTCTTGATTTTTTTCTGAAAGAGAAATTTCAAAGGATAAAATTGCTCAGGATAAGCCATAGAACCTAAGTGGGGTTTCACCACAAATGAAACATGAAAACTGCAAACAGAAAAATACACAGCATTGTTCACAGTTTCCAGACACTATAACCTAAATGAAATCAGGACATTAAAATTAATGATAAAGTTATGGTTTATTTTTATGCAAAGTAATATAAGATATATTCCGGAGAAATACTGAACATCATACATTACTGAAATGTTTTCTGATTGTCAACAATGATTGTCTGCAAAAGAATCATTAGAATAATTACATGTGTCATATCTTATCACACTCAATCAGCAAGAAGAAAAAGATTTAATTCCTAATTCTTAGATTACATAAAGAGTAAAAGAATAATTAACTTCAAATATGAAGACTTCAGAGTTTATTATTTTTTTAAACTATTAGAAGTGAGGTATACACCTGCATCGATGTTAAAAACTTAGACTTTATTTTCCATAATTAGAAAAAATAGTTTTATTGTCATTATTCTGAGCTCACTTAGAACATATCCAAATATCCTAGTGATATCACTTTGAAAATTGAAAATGTGTTCAGTAGACTATATATGCTCATATTGAATTTAAAAAATGTAACTATTTTAACATACTAGTCACTAAGAGTATGTTTTATAAATTATATTTTATATTGGCCTTTATAATATTGTATTTTATATTGTGTCCTTGTCTTGGAAAATGATTCTACTGGTTATTACTCCTAGGATAACAATATGTAGATAACTTTACTTTTACCTAACTAAAATTACTAAATTTAGCAGAGAGGACACGGAGTAAACATCTGTAGGTGAGAATAAACGTGAACAAAACAGTTATTCATGACTTTAGTTTGAGTCTTTAAGATTTCATAATATTGAAAAATTGTTGTCTGTTATTTAGATAAATATTTTGACCGGTTTTCCATAAATGGTGATTCAATAACTAAATATCAACCGCTACAGACAGATTCACAACTTTCAAAGAAGTATATGAACCACTACTAAAAATATGAACGTATACGTAGTAAATTTAAAGGTTGGAGATAACAGAAACTTTGAGTACAAAAATCATACACATTCTGGCCCTACTCAAATAAATGCATTACTTTTACCCTTTCACATATGAAATTAAGGTTCATCTGAGTTAAACTGTCCTAAAATGTGCCTTTGAACTGAAATGGAAAAAGTTGCCCAAGGTCACAGAGCTTAGGGCTGGAGTGGAATTTAGGTCTGCTTTTGTCCAAAGCTCTGGCTTTTTAACTGTTCCTCTAGAAGAAAAAACAATGATTCTTGAAGGAGCTAAAAATATTGAGACACAAAAATGTAGACTGCAGAACAACTTGAGAAAACACGAGAGCTGCTTTAGGAATATATAGAAGGACACAAAATTCTTATCAACACATGAGCACCAGAAAGACAACAAATAATTAATAGATTCCAATCTAATCTTTGGTGATTGTTTCTTTTAAAAGATCATTTCTGAGGACAGTAGGAAGGACAAATAAAATATTAAAAAATGTGGAGAAAGGAGAAATTTAATATTTTAATGATTTATATTTTTAATATAAAATTCAGAAAATATAATGCTCTGAAGAAGTTTAGAAGTCACAACAAATTCCTAACATTAGTTTCAAGGTCAGAGTCATGTTATTCTGCAAGGCTAGCATAAGTGAATCTGATTAATTCAACAAAGTAAGTGTCCTTTTTAAATTTCAGTCTTTAAACTTTAGTGTCTCAATTTTTCTCTGATGTTTAAAACACATCAACTATTTTCATAAGAGTACATTTATCCTAATATATCTTATATTTACCTGTTGGTTTTATGTTCTATGCTTTAAAGAAAGATGTTAGTTAGGTCTTCACATAGGAAAGGAAGAAGTCATGCTATCTTTATGTGCAGATGACATGAAATTTTAAAAAGAAGACCCCAAAAGCACTCCAGCAAAAGACTCTTAGAATAAACAAATTCAGCAAAGTAGTAAGACACAAAATAATGCCAAAAAATCAATAGCACTTCTGTACATCAATAATGAACCCATGAAGAAAAAATCAGGAAAACAATCCTATTCAGGGTAGTTAAAAAAAGAAAAAACTATCTAGGAATTAACCTGACCAAGGAAGTGAAAGACCTATATAATTAAAACTATGGTACACTCAAAAGAGACTGACAAGGACATCAGAAAATAGAAAGATATCCCCTGTGGTGGATAGCTAGAACCAATTGATCATACTACCAAAAATGATATAGAAATAATGCAATTCCAATCAAAATACCAACAGCATTCCTCACAGAACTAGAGAAAACAATCCTAAAATTCATATGGAAGCAGAAGAGAACCCAGAATAGTCAAAGTAACCATGAACAAGAGCAAAGCAAGAGGCATCACAATCTTAGGTTTCAAGTTATATTATGAACCTGTTATAATAAAAACAGCGCGATCCTGGCACAAAAACAGATACAGTGACCAATGGAACAGAACTAAGGATGCAGAAGCAACCTCAGGCACCTTCAGCTATCTTATCTTTGACAAAGGGGCCAAAAGCATATGCTGGAGAAGAAAGCCTCTACCAAACAGTGCTGGGAAAACTGGTTTTCCACAGGCAGAAAAATGAATGGAGATCCATATGTCTCACCCTGCATTAAAGTCAAATAAACATGGGTCAAAGATCTAGATATGAAAATAGACACAATGAATCTGCTGGAAGATAAAATATGTAAAATTCCTGAAGACATAGGCATAGGCAAGGACTTTCTTCACAGAACACCAATAACAAAAGAAATAACACCAACAATTGACAACTGGGATTATGTCAAATTAAAAGCTTCTGGGCCGGGATTTAGCTCAGTGGTTCCGCTGTCTGCCTTGCAAGCGCAAGGACCCAAGTTTGATCCCCGGTACCAAAGAAACCCAAAAACCAAAAACTTCTGCATAACAAAGGAAACAAACAACAGAGTGAAGAGCCAATGTACAAAATGGGAAAAGTGTTTTGTCAGGTACTCCTCCTCGGACACAGGACTAAATCTAGAATATTTAAAAGATTCAAGGTAATTAAACTCTCCCAAATAAAAGACCCAGTCATAAAATGAGGAACTGAAATGAATAAACACTTCATGTAGAAGAAGTGCAAATGGCCAATAGTTACAGGAAAAACTTTTTAGCATTTTTGACCATTACAGAAACTCAAATTAAAATAATACTGAGATTCTATCTTACTACAGAATTAATGGTTATCATCCAGGACTCAACATTAAATTCCAGCTAGGTTGCAGGGGGTAGAGGAAAGAACCTTTATATTGCTGGTGGGAATGTAAACTAGTACAACCACTATGGAAATCAGTATGAAGATTCCTCAAAAAACTAAAAATAAAAATTTCATTTGACTCAGGTATACTTGTGAGTATCTTCCCCAAAGAGTTATAGGCCTACTATTACTGTGATACATATACCGCCAAATTTATAGCAGCACAAGTTGTAAGAGCTAAATCACAAAAGGAAAATTTTGAATCATTTATAGGAAAGTAGATGCACCTTGAGAATGTAAAGCTAACGGAAATAATTCAGACACAGAAGATTAGCTATCCCATGGTTTTTCTTCTATGAGGAGCTGAAAGTATAAATAATTTAAAGAGCCAAGTAAAAGAGATGTTAGGGATCAGGAAGGCAGACTTTGTGGAGAAAGGAAGGAGAGCTGGAAATGGGTTTAATGAGAGGGAGGAGAAGGGAAGCAGCAGGAAAAAGGATCAAGATACAATATGTGTATGTACCACTTCCCCACGATGAATGTATTTGTCCCATATTGCAAACATATACGAATGAAAATACAAATCAAAAGAAAGATCTTAGATAGGTTTTTGTTCTGAAAACTTCATGTGTACAATTGAAAGAAGGGCACAGGAGCAGGAAGGAGCCAGTTGCTGCAGGGGGTACAGAGGACGGACGTGTGGAGCAGTGCATGGGAGGAAAG